CTTTGCTTCTCAGTTGTTTATTATTTAGAATTTACGCCGCTAGTGTGAAGCAATTCTGCATTTTAGCTTACAATTCTCAGAATTTGCTTTCGATCATGCAGCAATAATTTTTGTACAACACAGTGGCAATTCTCGCAAATCGCTCCTTCAAAGCGTCGTATGTGACACATGTATGCACGTGCTATTGCAGTATTTTAAGTTTCAGTGAAGTATTTTTGTTTATTACATCAGCAATAACTTTCAATGAAGCTCTTCCATTGTGTCAGATATTGTCAGATGGAATGCCATGTTCATTTTTATCGTCATCCCAAAAGAATTGATTGCTCTGGTTCAAAGAACTGTAATGCGGGGGACTGGTGCAGTAGGGCTGAGTCATGATGTCCTGTGATGCATAGTTCATCAGAGCTTCTCTCTTACCACCTGCATGGACTTGGCAGCTGTTCAGTGAAAGTGTCGCAGCTGCGCACTGCAGTGTGCTGTGCCCCCAGGCATGAGCCTTTCAACCAGTCGCACGACCGCAGCAGTGCACAATTTTTCCTGGATTTTGTGGTTTCTTTGTGAATAGTTGGATGATTCACCAGGAAAAAGGCATGAAACTTTTTGAACCGGAGTTTGGTTTATTGCAAATTTCGACTACTTTCATTGTTGTTGTCATGTATAGTTCATCACATTCAGGGAATGCATTTACAGTTCTGGCAACTTTCTACAACGTTGGAGTGTTTTTTTTACCTGTTGCTTGCATTTCTTCATGTGTCTAATATTCTTCGAAATGAAAAAAAATTGTTTGTACTGGTTTCAATTTTGAAATGCGCGGATCAGACTTGAGGAAGTTACGCGAGAGTCTCCGTAGCATGACGCCACCACAAGCAGCAGCATCTGCGTGTGTTTTATTCATGTTTTGCAGCACGGCAAGGTCACTGGTGCCGTCGGTGGGAATATTCAGGTAACAAGGGAGGGAAGTGGTGAGCGCGCCGCACCTACCGCATCCTGTAGACTGTACTGTAAATGCGACGTCGCGGGGCTGGGTCGTTACGCTTCGTCGCCTCTGTTCCGTCATGCGACGTTCGTGGCTTTTCTGTGGTTGTGCGTTTTGTATGAGCACGCTTGAATTGATCCGCTTGCGTGTGTATGGTGGTTCTCCGTGTTATACTTCATCCGAATATTTGTCCTTGAATATTTAGAATTATATGACGAGTATTATCGGAAACAGTTATATGCTCAACGGGAATAAGATCCAGTGTAAACTTTCTCTGTCCGATTGGTCCTTTTAGGATCACAAGTAAACTGTTTTACATATGTTTGCGGCAGCGTATTTGCTCTACATAGATGAGGGTTCATAGCATTTTGACTGTACGGAATCTTCCTTCCGCTTTCTATCTTTGAAGAAAACATTGCATCGCGTATGCAGATATACCCTGCCATAATTGAGCCATCAAGCAGTATCACTGCCTTGATACACTAGACATATTCTCGACAGTGTACTTCAAAGCTTGATTGCTTTCTCGTATCACTTGCCGTCAAAGCTATTCGTCACGTTATCTCTGCAGCCGCACGCAAGAATCACGCGATACCGTTAGTTCATTTCTATGCTTCAGTGTTTCTCGGTCGCTTGTGTGTATGTTCAGTACGCTGCTGCTCTCTCATTCTTGTCGGTACATCGTACACTATAGTGCTTATCGTCTCTTCGCCTCGACCGGATATGACCTGATTTCTGTAATCTTCAGTTTTCCCGTTCTACGAAACTGTTGGTAGCAAGTTTATCTCAACACGTTCACGGGATTGCCTTGGAGCACTTCCATAAGATCTAATAACAGCTTAAATTTTAATAAATTAACATAAATGATTGCTTCAATTGCTTGTGTTCAAATGTATTCAAAATCATCGCTGGGAAATGCATATGAATTCATGTGACCTGATGAACGAACGATAAAAAACGTAACAGTGAATTCGTATCGTATAGCATTATTTGAGTGGACTAGAGTTCTTTGACCGAACTTGACCTTTGACGACCTGACTTGTCGAAGTGCGTGGTGTGGATTGCCTTCTTATGTGACGGTCGCTGCAAACGCTGGTCAAGAGCGAGGCGATTCTCTCACCAGAGCCTCACAAAGGTCTTTGCTAATAATCAGTAAGTTGATATTAAGAGCCAGGATTATCAGAAAAAAGGAATCGATGAATATCTGAGAGGTGATTACCTATTTTTTAGAATATGGCTGCTGAAAGAGGATTTTTGTTAACATTTCCATCACAAGTATGAACTGATCGTATATTGGCATGCCAAAGCTGGCCTTGACCAGCTATGTTATGTTAAAAATGTGCTTCGTTTATTGTGGACTTGCGACCTCGTAAGTTTTTTTCTGAAGCCAGCTTCAGGAGGATAAAGATGTTCTTTATCTAATATATCTCCCCTGCTTTTTGCATACTTGAATGTTTTCATTTTATATTCCTTAGAAATTCACAATAAAATTGATAAATGCGCAAGTATTTTAAGCAAAATATTAACAATGACTGGCTCTATCGAAAAGACACGTCGGGAAAACACTTATATTGTTTATAACTTTACACATGGATCCATTCGGTTTTATAATTGTACACGTGTACGAATAATGAAGTTCACAGCTTTTTATGCGAGCATAATTTTCTTGGATGCATCGAGATCTTCCATGCAAATTCTTGAGACAGCGAAAGTGCTAAACGTATCTACAAGTATACCCAAGTGGTACATACCGCACTAGTCTATAAGTAGACCCAAGTAGTACATACCGCACTAGTCTACAAGTAGATCCAAGTAGTAGTAGTAGTTAGACCCAAATAGCTCATCGTCAATACGGCCTATAGTGAGGATTGGCTATAAGGCCGTGTGAGTACAGTCGGTCTTCTGATTGTTTAAATTCATGATCATTTCTTTTGGTTGTTATGTGATGCTCTATAAACCTTATTAAAAAAATTCTTCGGCATCATTTCTTTTGGTTATTATGTGATGCTCTAAACCTTATTTTCTTTCAAAAATTTGTTCAATTTCCGGCCGAATTGGATGGAATATTGTTATTGATCATATCGTTTATTTCATTACTTCACCTATACTTCATCGCAAGATAAATTTGTCAAGTTGCGCTCGTATTTTTAATGAAATGTCGCAGCGATCATATTTCACTACTATCCGAAAGATTTACCGCTTTTAGCGTATCACTTATCTTTAAATACTTTATTGAGGAGAATATGCCATGCTCTCTCGGAAAATGATCTTTCCTGTTCAAGCCAATCTACTTCGAAAAGAAACCACTGCATCCAAATGAAAAAGTCCCTCCTTCTCATTTATTTATGAATTCGGATATTCTGATTATATATTGTTATTTCTTGAATACCAGTAATTTACTTTGTCAGGATAAAGCGCACCGATATTATTTGTACTTCGTAGTAGATCTGTTCAACTTTACATGTTGTGCTAATATGCAACCGTTTCCTTATTTCCTTAAAGTATCTGAGGCCGTTCCTTCGATGTTCAACTGGTATTAAAGTATTCAGTATTCTTTGAACTTGGTACTATTACTACTATATAACATCTTTTACATTAATAACTTTGGCCTTATGACAAATGCACTAGGTCCGGGTACATGAGTTCTTTGTTATCTCAGTACAGCACTCACGCAATCTGCCCTTGCCTCCGTTACTCACTCTACACATTTATACATAATATCCTTGGACATTTACTCTGAGCTGCTCGTTCCAGCACATTGTTGTTGCGTTGATATCGGGATGGTTTCGTATAATTTTAACGGCTCTGAAGTACATACAGTATATACAGTGGGTGCAAACAGTATCCCACACAAGGAAAAACTTATTTTTATTATAACCTTAAACTAAGAAAATTACAATTATCAAGTCAACATTTAAAGATATTGTTGTTTTCGCATCACATTTGTATTTCTCATGCAAATTTACAATAGAATAGTGTTTGTTTACGTTATTTTTTGGATAAGCTTGAATTAAATAAAGTTTTTCCTTTGTGTCGGATACTTTTTGCACCCACTGCGTAGGTTGGCGCGAGTATAAATAGGTATAACTGAAGTCTACGGAATACGCACGCCAGCTTTGAGAGCCGCGCTCACTTCCTATTACTATAAGTTTTGCAACTCAGAGAAAACCGGAAATGCTTGCTTCATTGCTAACGCTGACGCTGATGTTAAGGTGAAGGCGTCGGTACGTATTGCCGTTGTGTGCGTTGACTGTCAATTAGTGAACCACGTGCGCTGTAATCTGATTATTTCCATTGAACCAGTGTTGTTAGGAGGGTAGAAAGAGAAGTGAAGCTCTCTATGCTCTAGAGTGCGTGCATATTATTTCAATAGAAATAAATTCTGTGTTTATTGAGAGTTTAATATGTTGTTCTGTGAGTAATTCTCAATGCTGCAATAGAAGGATAACTTTGAGTCAGTGTCTATTTCTGACTTTACTTTAACTATGTGATAACTTACTCTTACTTTTTTACTTTAGCTGTTCAAAAAAGTGATCTTTATGTTCATCTTGCAACAAATTCCAAAACAAAATTTAATTCATTTGTTTTTTTTTATCTCTCGATTTTTCTATGGTTTTCTCATTGACAATGAGTTTGTAAATTCTCTACTGCTACATAAATTAGTATGATTCTTTCGGTGTACTTGAGTTTGCTAAGGAAATATAATTTGAATCGTTGAACTGATTTATTTGTTTTTACTTGGCTATCTCTATCTCATTACCATGGAAGCGATTGCGATGGTTATTGGTCTTGTTTTATTCTACGGACAATACCTGGCCGATAATGTCCGGAGGTTGTTTGCATTGGATCGTCAGATACGCATGTGTTAATGAATGTGTATGCAACAGGATGTTTTAGATATGCAGTTAATAAGATGTTATGGAATATGTAATCAAGAATATGTTATAGGATTAATAAGATGTTATAGGATAAGTATGAGTAGTTTACAGTATGTGTAAGTAATATTGATGTTGCCCATGTACAGGTTGCTGGACGCAGCGCAATACAAGCCAGCGACGATATCCCCTCCTATGGGGCGCAGCAACGTGGCAGGGGGAGGAGGGGGTGTACCGGCCCCTGCTCCCCAACCCCCCACAGGGGCCACACCATCTGTTGGAAGCTACCCTGCAGCATACCCGCCTCAAGCCCCGCTGCCTACAGCTGGCGACGCGCGGTACCAAACTCTGCTGTCTTATCGTCCCGAGCCTTACAGACACATGGTGAGATCATAGTATTTTAGTATATGTATACTAGATGTATTTACAGACACATGAATCTGATCCCAATGACCTATGTAGTCTTCGGCTCACTGACCCCAGCACTACTGCACCTGGCCAGGAGACAATCCATTGAAACTAATGCTATCATGTTATAGCAACATAGCGTTATCATCTTACAATATAACGCTATCATATTACAACATAACAGCGCTATCATGTTATAACATAACATAGGTAACGCTAGCATGCCATAATAACATAACGCTGTCTTGTTACAACGTAGCGCTATCATGTTACAACATAAGACTATCATGCCATAACATAACGCTATCATACCATAAGATAACATCACGCTATCATACTACAACATAACATAACGCTATCATGTTATGACATACGTAACATAATTTGCAACGACGCAAATGGTATTAAAGTCGATGACGAAGCTGTGGGTGCGAGCAATTTCATTAAAAGAAGGCCAAAATTGAGATATTTTGCGTAATTTTAAAGCTTTTACCATCATATGTTTAAATTTATGCATCAGGTCTCGTATGAATATTTATCTTTAAAAACTCTAAATTAATAAAATTTTCATAATATTTCCGTTAAATGACGCCAATAAACTGCAACCTACAACAAGTAGCCTGTATTTTGTGAATCATGTTTCATTGCATTTACGGGGGTTGAATTTTTATTAATATATGCTGACTCGACAAACTATGGCAGCCTATGGAGCTCGTGGTCTTTCTCAGATACCGTGTCGTTTTCTTTGTCTGTCTTCTGTTTTCTGGTGCATTATGAAGATCGCCCATATAAATTGTATTAAATTAAACGGTAATTTTATTATTCCCGGACCAGTACCAGAGCTAGGTGTTTGAGAAGAGTGTTACAAGAGGTTATTTTGTTACTTATGTTAATTTCTTATTGCAGGACCGACCGCTGCTCATCACCAACCAGAGAAGACCGAGTATCATGGGTCCATACGGGTTAGTCCTTTGATTTTAATTGAGTGATGACCAAGATATTTCTGTTGAATATAAATTACAAACTTCGTAGTCTTTTTCTAGATTGATTACTGTAAATATTTGATGAGCTCCATGGAACTGGGTGGAACTCGAGTAGTTTTTTGTCTATGGTTATCTCTTTTTGAGGTGTCAAGGAAGATGGTAGCGAATTATTTGATATTGAACGCCATTTTTGCAATCAAAATATTTTGCATAGCCAACTGCAATTACCTACTGCATGGAGTTGGTATTTATATAATATTTTACGGTTTTATATATTTTACGCTTCTTGAGATTTGTGATTATTTGTAGATATTAACGCTGTCATACAAACCACGCATTCTCTTGTTTGGTTATGTGTATCAAGAAAATACATACGGTGACTAAACTATTCTGATACTAAACTTGGTTTTGTAATTTGATTATACTAATTCATATTGTATTTTGTACAGGGCGTACGCGAACCGCCCCGGAGGTGGTGAATTGGTGCAGATCATACCTGGTGGTGGTGGAGTGTCTGTCTCCACGGGTTGTGGTGGTGGCGGTGGCGGGAGCATTGCAGTCGCCACCAACGTGGACAACAGCAAGAGAATCAAACTCTCGCAGCCGCCCGTCATGAAGCAGGACGCTCGCATGACCAGCCTACACGTGAACACCGACGTGCACCCCACCAGGGTGAGTGATGGGTGGCATGACCAGCCTACACGTGAACACCGACGTGCACCCCACCAGGGTGAGTGATGGGTGGCATGACCAGCCTGCACGTGAACACCGACGTGCACCCCACCAGGGTGAGTGATGGGTCGTATTCAGCAGCTCGTCTTGCTTTTATATTGCGCTCGACAAACTCTATGGGCTGTTCTTAGTTGCGCGTTGTGGTGCGAGACTTACTTGTCTCGTTGCAGCGGTTATTGAATAATTAAGTGATGTCACTTAATACATTCTCAGTTACGGTACCTATATCCGTCGGTTGAGTTAGAAAATTTTCAGTGCAGTCTTTGACAGCAATTCGAATGCCTTGAAGTTCTGATTGAAGCATCATCTTACTTTTTTTGCTGAAATTTCAGCAAGCTTTATTGAAGAAAAACTGATTATGTACACTAAAAATATACGTGATCGCAGTTTATTCATATAACACCGTTTTTACCTTCATTTATATTACCGTGCCACGGGAAGTGACTGCTTGCTTTCGTTTGTGTAAATATTATGTTGTACCGCCACTACTAAATTTTTTAGCTCGTTCAGTGCTGACAAATGTTGTCAATATTTGTCTAATCCCTAAATCGTTTCCAGGAATCCTCTTACTACCCCCAAGTGGAGGCAATCTCTCCGACGCCGACAGAAATTCGCGACGACTCTCCCGATTCAATCAAGAACCAAATCCTGAAGCAGATCGAGAGCGTGGACCGCGAGATCGAGAAGTTCGAAGCGTCCATCAAGATGATGGAGAAGAAGGCGGAGGAGCTCGAGGCCGCGTCCATACACAAGAGTGAAGGCGACCAGGACGGCGCTGCTGGTGATGATGATGGCAAGGCTAAGAACCACAGCCTCCCGCAGATCATTTATGCCGCCAATAAAGTACGTTGCTATAACCGTTGCTATAACCGCTATAGCCGTTGCTATTACGTACGCTATTAAATCGAAATGCTACCATTACCGCCAATAAAGTACGTTGTTATGCATGGCGCCTTTGTCTACCAGTACCGCCGATAATGTGCGTTACAATTTATGACATCAATAAAGTACTGTTGAATAAAAAACATCTTTTGGTAATAGTCTCCTGTTAGTAGCGAGTACTGACGCTTCGAATTGGTCAAAATTTAACGTTGGTTTCGGGGCGAGATGAATTTCGTAGTTTTTGAGGTATGGGGATTATCGTGTTGGAAAAAGTAGTCCTCTGCCAATTCTGTTGAATGCGTTGTTGTCAGGGAGATTCGTTAACCATGACAATGTGTGTCATGTACGCAGTTTTTGATCTTTTCCTACTAACAGGAATCGCTCGCTTTCCTAAGCTTGACATCTTGTCTGTTTATGAACGTAAATTAAGATTCATTTTGCTTGTGCAGAAAAAAGCGGAAGAGGCGCACAAGGAGATGGCTAAAATCAACTGCCCCATGGACGGTCCATCGTTTTTGGTGAGTGCGCTACAGTCGCCGAGTTTAATTTCCTGTCTCCCCGCTCTGATTATTTCTCCTTGTTTTCGCTTTCGGCAATTCCTCATTTATTTAGAGTATACCTACCGCAGGATTTATCTAGTAAGATTGTGTGTTCATTGATTTTAAGTTTTAGAACAGCGAGTCAGTGAATGTGGAGTTAGAAAGTCATAAGAGTGATGTAGATGCGTCTGAAACTTCCGGCCCCTGGACGCATTTACGCATGTATCTTCAACTTATGTTTAGGTTTTGTTGGTTATCGAGATATTTATGTTCTAATTTATTTGGACTTGTTGTCATTGTAGCAAATATCCTCCTATTAACGTCATTGTAGCAAATATCCTGTTATTAACTACATATATCCATTTTTTCGACTCGGTTTAAATATCTCTAATCGTTGGACTTTGTATTCTCTGACTAACGCCACATACTTTTAGAATCGTGAAATTGTTCAATTCATTCATTGTCTACAATTGTATATTTATGTTACTAAATTGTATTTATTTTGTTCTAATGATTATGTTATCTTGACAGCGTAGTTGAGTATTATTTAATCCCTAACATTTTGTTTCTGTACTCGACATTTAGCATTGGCTGTCATGACATTAAAATGAATTATTCGTACGTACAGCCGCTGTACCACCAGCCCTCCGACACCCGTAATTACGAGAGCAACAAGAGAATATTTTACAACGGTGGCCTTAAAGCCAAGATCATCCAGCACGTGAAGAAGGAGGCGCTAGAGAGGCGAACCAGAATAGAGAAAATCACCGCCACTTACAGCAAACTGCGCACTGAATGGCTCAAAAAGGTAACATAACATAACCAATCAGGTAACATTGCAAATTATTACTATTTATTTCTTCAATTTCACGGGATTTTGCTGGTCAATATTTGCCCTTAAAAAATGAGCGTTTATGCCCTCTAAATTAGTTGTATTATTTTTCTTTTGTATAAATTTTCTGGTAAGCTAGTTAATTGGATTTTAAAATTGACGTCAAGCCATGAAGTTTAGTTTTCATACTGGGCCAAGGAAGAAATAGCGCGAGTACTTTAACCAGGAATTGCTCGACTATGGGGATTATCTATACTAAGTACTATTGCTTATCTATAAGGCAACATTGGTTGCGAGATGAGTGCAATTCACAACTCTGATGCCAGGTCGAGAAACTGCTCGACCATGTATTATTGCTTATCTAATATCTATACTATCTACTATTTTCTTATCTATAAGGTAACATTGTTAGCGAAACGATTACCATTTATCTCCCTGATGCCAGGTGGAGAAAGAGGAGAACAGCAAGAAGCACCGAGAAAAGCTATACAATGTACTATATGCTTATCTATTCTATGTACTACTTGCTTATCTATAAGGCAACATTGGTTGCGAGATGAGTACAATTTACCACTCTTATGCCAGGTGGAGAAAGAGGAGAACAGCAAGAAGCACCGCGAGAAGATGAGTCGCAACAGAGAGCTGTTCGAGAAAGTGTTCAATGAGCTGCGCAAGCAGAGGGAAGACCGAGAGCGCTTCACGAGGGTGGGAGCGAGGGTTAAAAGTGATGCTGAGATGGAGGAGATCATGGACGGCCTTCAGGAGCAAGAGGTACATAAATGTTGTTAACTTCACATGGTTTGTGTCTTGATTAGTACGTATTGTTAAAGTTACGGTACCTTCTTGGAAACATGACATGCAAGTTATGCTAGTGAGATTCGCACCTATACCTGCTCAAAACACGCATGTTGTCCAAGTTGATTTTAAATTAATAATTCTCTTTATAGGTAGAGATTCTGTAATATTGAGTTATGACTGATTGTCAATATTAAATTAATATATATATAATGCAAATATAAAATAATTAAATTAAATATTATTCGCAGAACGAGGAGAAGAAGATGCGGTCGTACGCCGTGATCCCTCCCATTCTGCTGGACGCGGTGCGCCGCAACTATCGCTTCGAGTGCAGGAACGGCTTGATCGCTGACCCCGTGGCGGGGTACAAGGAGCACAAGAACTGCAACACCTGGTCTGAGCAGGAGAAGGATATTTTTCGTGAGAAATACCTGCAGCATCCTAAGAACTTTGTGCTCATTGCTTCATATCTCGAGAAAAAGACCGTAGCTAATTGTATCTACTACTATTATAGTACTAAAAAGAAAGAGAACTACAAAGCTCAAGTCAAGAGAAGAATAAGAAAACCTCGAGCAACCAAGGGATCGGCGGCTGCTCCATCACAGACGGGCGTGTTGGAGGTCGTGGGGCTCAATTCTACAGGCGTGACCACGCGAGGTTCTGTGGCTGCGTTACAGAAGGAACAGCAACAGAGTGGAAGACCTGAGGCATGTTCAGCGCCCAATTCCCCGCCTCCTCCACCAGTTTCTTCTTCCTCTGTTTCTTCTCGGACTCTGAACAGCTCATCTCCTGCACCTACAACCGGGGACGTTAGGATGGCTGTTTCTTCTGCCACTCCCACCACACAGGCCAATACAGGAGCTTTATCCTCTGGCGATTCCAGTTTATCCACGTCATCCCATTGTGACTCCACCAACTCCCCTAACGCTGTGTCCCTACCAGCGTCTGATGTACCCCCGTCCTCGAGCGTCACCCCAGCGGTGGCCGCGTCTTCTCCCCAGCAGAACGGCGACTTTGACAGCAAGACGTCCTCGCTCCTCAGCTCCAGCGCTGAGGCCCCCACAACTGAAATCAAGGAGTCAAGGTTGGCTACTATATCGTCGTTATAACATTCTTCCTTGCATTTCCATTATAGTTAATATCTTAAATTTATATTAACCATATCGTATGATTACCTGGTACCGCTCCTGAGCTCCAGCGCTGAGGCACCCTACAACTGAACTCAAGGAGTCAAGGTTGGCCAATTATTACACTACTACACTAACATTCTTCTTTGTATTTCCATGAGGCTTAATATCTTTAATTTATATTAACCATATAGTATGATCACCCATCTTGTCGTTAGCCCCCACAACTGAAATCAAGGAGTTAAGGTTGGCTACTATATCGTCGCTATTACTCTAACATTCTTCCTTGCATTTTCATTACATTTAATATCTTTAATTTCTATTAACCATATCGTATGATTGCCCATCTTGTTAATTTTTGAGGGCGTGTAAGTTTGGTGAGCAATTTGAAAATTGTAGGTCGATGTATGCTGGAAATTGAGTTGATTAACACTAAGAAGACTGCTGCTGCATCCGCTTTTGGTCCTGATGTTAACTAGATTAAATGATTGAATCGCATTGACAATATCGTACACAAATTTTTAAGTGCCTCTTGTTTTGCGTTGATTTGTTCTTTTTGCAATGAACTAGAAAATGTAATAAAAAATATTTAATCGATATAATATTGATTTTATATTTTAGATTATTTATTTTAAAAATAGAAAAGTATCCAAGAATCTTGCATATTATGAAATCTTTATTATTCGGCAGCCGACCGGGAATGGTCTCAGGTTAAATAACTTTAACATTTTGACTTACAGAACTGAAGGCTCTGAGTCAGCGGCCACCGACACGTCGAGCCACCAGCTGCTCACCAAGACCTCCACCAACAACAACAAAGCGTCACTCCCGCGGTGGCCGCGTCTTCTCCCCAGCAGAACGGCGACTTTGACAGCAAGACGTCCTCGCTCCTCAGCTCCAGCGCTGAGGCCCCTACAACTGAAATCAAGGAGTCAAGGTTGGCCAATTATTACACTATTACACTAACATTCTTCCTTGTATTTCCACAAGATTCAAGATCTTTAATTTATATTAACCATATCGTATGATCACCCATCTTGTCGTTAGCCCCCACAACTGAACTCAAGCAGTCCAGGTTGGCTGATATATCGTAGCTATTACACTAACATTCTTCCTTGTATTTCCATGAGGCTTAATATCTTTAATTTATATTAACCATATCTTATGATCACCCATCTTGTCGTTAGTTTTTGAGGGCATGTAAGTTTGGTGAGCAATTAGAAACTTGTATGTCGCTGTGTGCTGGAAGTGAAGTTGATTAGCACTAAGAAGACTGCTGCATCAGCATTTGGTCTTGATGTTGACTTGATTAAATAATTAAATCTCAATGACAGAATGTCGTACATATATTTTACTATGCCTCTTGATTTGCGTTGATTTGCTCCTTTTGCGATAAACTCTTAACGATTGGTAGAAAATATTTATACTATGTATAAAATATTGATTTTTTTAGAATATTTATTTATAAATAACAAAGTACCTAAGAATGTTGCATATCTTGAAATTGTTATTATTCGGCTGCCGACCGGGAATGGTCTCTGGTTAAATAACTGTAACATTTTGACTTACAGAACTGAAGGCTCCGAGTCAGCGGCCACCGACACGTCGAGCCACCAGCTGCTCACCAAGGCCTCCACCAACAACAACAATAACACCAACAACAACAACAACAACAATACTAACTCCACTTCCGTTGCCGACTCCAGTGACGAAGAAGATCTCTCAGAGGCGGGCGGTGAGTATGCATTGCTTGCTAATAAATAACATCTCAATGTATTCATCGTCTTGATTTATAGGCGCTTCTGACGGTCATTTCTGTCGCGAGTGCGGCCAGTGTTTCCAGCACTGCATTAGTTCTGAACGCTTTTTAGTTGATACGTTGAAATAAATAGGTTATAATACGTAGTGTGTTCCCTGCGTGGTTGGTTTTCACTGTTTCGAGGATATAACTGTTTCGGTGTTACTTCCTTTACCGTCTTGCACATTTGATTTAACGTCGTGTTTGTTCAGCGGACTGCGTAACATTTTTATGTAAGTAATGACATATCGTAATTTACGGGAAAACATTTTATTGCTTAGTTGTTGCCGCCATTTATTTTACTACCGTCGGCAGCTGGTATTGCGCAATGAAATGATACCTACAACCAGACATTTAAGCAGTGAAAGGTCAGTATGTCCTAGGAGATTTATTCACTTCTTTGTATTTCTGTTATTTAGCAATTTGATAGTAGATGCTCTTGACATGCACCCGTTTAATTTAATGTTTGAATGTCTGCTGTTAACCTGACGAGTGCGAGTTTCTGCGAAACTGAAATGAAACTCGTGTTCATTTCAAACAAATTCATTCTCGAAATGGACTAGATATTTTGCAGGACTCTGCTTGAGGTTTTCAAACACACCAAAAACGTTGCTTTACCTACTTCAAAAATCTCTTGACATTTCCTTCTGTAATTATCACCTCTTCATTAGACAAATCAAACTCATCAGTTTTATCCTGGATTTTTTTTTTGTTTTTATTGATATGATGTTGACTCGCTCGAATGATTAAATTTTGGCACTTCTTCGAGTCTCGTATAAGCATCATGTATATATTCTTAGGGATTACCTTCTACTTCAACCTCAGATCATTTAACCGACTTGGTTTCTGCCGCGCAAACTTCACGCGTGAAGGGTATTGAAACGCCAAAGCTCTTCCAAGAATCTCTTTTATAGATTGTTTATTGAAAATATTTCGCCGTCTTATTTTCTGCCGCTTAGTTTATTCAACATTCTCGAGCATTTTAACCCGCCGAAGTTAAAATTCCGAGCTTGACTTTTAAAAATGAATTTTAGAATTAATATTCCTAAGTTCCACTGAGCGTGATGAATCGATCACGATGCGAAGTTATTCATTACCGCAGACTTCCAACTGCATTATCTCAATATTTTTATTACGGCTACTTTGTCAATTATTGTCAGACGAATCTACTGCAGTTGCTGTAGAATTGATCCCCTCGTTTACTTCACTACTTTGTTCGCCATGACAAAGTTTTCTGTGCTTGTGTACGAAGTAATAACTAGGGAACTTTGAGCCGCAAGTCTTGCACGGAAAATATTGTACGTTAAGATCCAGCGCCGATCTCGTTGAGCCGTCGGTCATGTAACCTGTGCTTTGTGGTCTTGTGGAACAGTCTTCTGTTTGAAGCCTGCGACAATCCGTCCGTCCAACTACGTCTTCACATTCTATCAACTTCAGATCAACATCCCTCGATTGTATTTTAGATGCCGGGGCATCAATTTCAGTGGCGTTGCATATATTTTCAGCGTCTTTTGCTTCATTAACTGCGACATTTGGTTTAGTTGTTAACTTATTTTCTTCTACTTCTTTAATAAGCTCTTGACTTCCGAGGTTTGGTCCTGTGTGATTGTCGTGGTGTAACTTTTGTTCATCCATGCCATGGATTTGTCGGTGCGGGGATAATGTTTGAGCGCGCTGCTGCTGCTCAGTTGACATCGCGGCCCTGGAGATGGGGCCGCCTTTGGCCTCTAATCCTGCATTCACGGTTCGGGGCTGCACCTCCACTGTGATGGGGTTGATGTGTCGCCTCATGTGCTTCTGTGTCGGGATCATGGGTTGAATAGTATTCAATTAGACTAGAAATTTAAAAGCAAAGGAAATGACACAAAAGTTCGTCATATCTATACAGAAAACGTTTCGGAGTCCAGCCAAATCGTCAGTTTGAAGATTGCTGAATGTTTGCACTGACGATTTAGCTGGACTCCGAAACGTTTTCTATATGGATATGACGAACTTTCGTGGAATTTTCTTTGCTTTTAAATTTCTAGTTGATTTGCGATTCAAGTCAAAACAATTAATTATTCAATTAGGTGCAAATATGAGGGTGAAAGTGAGGAGTCTTCCGTAGCACTCATTGCACTATCGTAAAATTTAGATTCTTTACAGCAATATTTTATTACTATTGGCGAATAATCATTTTAATTGAGTTCTGACGAACATTGCAGACATAATGCTTAACTCATGTTTTTAAAAGGAAATTCACGTAGTCTGACCTGGTAGCAGTAGTGGCTCTTGAAGGTATGGTTGCAGTAGACGCAGTGGTAGGTAGTGACCGCCACTTGCTGCTGGCCATGAGACCGCTTCATGCATGCGCCCGTCTTCCTCTCCGCCCGACCTTGTGACCCTAGCGCCGTCTCGTCCCATGGGTCCAGATCATCCACGATGATCTCCGCGTCAGAGTCTACCTCGTCCATACTCTGCGCCGCGTATCACTCGATTGCACTCCAATTATAACTTGTCACTATTATATCAACCATTTTAAGATTCTAAATGCGTTTGAAAGATACGAAATGCGATCGTTTGGTTCGTTAGGAACTTAGATTTTTAATTGCCATGGGAAGTTTTCATAACGAACTGGGGCCATACTTTCAAAATTCTCTAAGTGAACGTAAGTACTTACGCTCTAATTTCTTGTCTATGATTGGTGGATTTTGCTTGAAAGGCTGTCAATGATTGGCTGATGAACTTACGAATCCTTTAACTTTTTTCGAAAGTATGGCCCCAGATTATATTTACAAGATCTGTTAATTAGCATAGATTTTAATTACTCACATTGCCTGCGAAAGCTTTGTTGAGTACCCGCTCGAAAAAGACGGGACCGTCACACGCAGCGATGTCGAGACCGAGCACCTGCAGGCTTGCCGCGTCACCGCCTCCTGACTTTCGTCTTTTACCGGCCGTGTTTCCCTGCCGGGGTTGCTGCCCCTCGTACTGGGTTGTAGAGGACTGTTGGTGGGAGCTGTGGCTGCTGCTGTGGTGGTGGTGGTAGTGCAGGTGGTGATGCAGCTTCACAAACGATGCTGCCAACATGAAAACACGATTTGCGCATTTATATCGAAATGTGCTGGCACTCAACTGAGGGGTCAAATGTAACGTAACATTTATCTTTCATTGTTTGCGCGTTTACATCGAAATGTGGGCTGCGGCACTCAACTGAAGGAAAAAGGTGACGTCAAAGTTTATTTTAATCGTATTACATGTTTAATTCCAGATGTGTTGTTGATTATGACGCTGCTCTTACCTTGATGCAGTGCTGGGTATTTGTGGGGCGCATAGTAGTATGGGTGATGCTGGTGCACCGGCACTTGTGACAGTAGCGTCGCTCCGGGCACAGTGGATGCCGTCATGTTTCCTTCTCTGAGCAAAGGTTTTTGGTAGAAGCCGCGTCTTAGGAGGTCATCGTGCTGCTGTGGCTGCCCTGCCACGCACGCGCCCCTCAACACGACCCTCGTGGGAGTAGGTCTTAGAATCACGGTCGGCCGTGGGTCCAACGTCACCTCGACATTTTCCGCGGTTGTTGTGCCTGTTACATGCGATAGACATCTCCATTTGTCATCGTTTTGTTTTATTGAGTTGATATCATCGCTTTTTCGCAGAGATTCGCTCTGTAAAAAAGACGCAATTTCTCCGTCAGCTTGCGGATCCGCCGAAAATTGGTTTTCGCTGGAGGTATTTGTTCCATCCAACCCGTGTATGATTTCGTCTCTGTTAGAAATATCACCGTTGCTTGTGCTGCGTGCAAGCGGTACAAATTTTTTTGTTGGATAGCTTGGCAATGTGCGTGATGCTTCAGTTTCACGTGGCAAAAGGATACGATTCTCTTCATACATGATAACCTCTTGAACATCTGCAAACTCTTCATCCTTCACAGTGTTACACTTGCGAAATGCTGCGTTCCATATTCCTCTGTCTGGTTCATCTTCGTTTACTAGACGGTCATCTTTGTTGAACTCGTCATGAATTGTAACCCGAGTTTCATCAGGTACTTCATTTACCGCTTTAATTTCGTCTGTTGGCATATCTATGTCGACATTTTCAACGACTGACCTGCTTTTGGAGACTAGATTGCAATTAGTTTCTTGATGCTCCTCTGAAGGTTGTTTTAGTGAAGTGTGTCCAGTTGTTCGGTTTGATTTCCCGTTGGATGTATTATAGCCCGTTGCTTTACTCAGCACGCTCGGTAAGCCGAAAACCTTGGCTGCCAGCATCATCTGTCGGTCAAGAATGTCTATTACTGAAACTTGGTTTAATTGTTAATATATTTTCTTTTACTTCTTTAACAAGCTTTTGACTTCTGAGGTTTTGTCCTGTGTGAGTGTCGTGGTCAGTCTCGAGAGGTAGCGTTGCGTGATTAGCAATTAATCGTGTAAGAAATCAACGTTTAATTGGTAAATAATTATAACGAAATTTGTATCTATGAAATTTAAATCCTATAATTTATATTCTATAATTTCCGGTTATATAACGAATTAGAGATTCATCGCGTGTGAGCATTAGCATCCTCCAAAAAATCCTCAATTAACAAACAAGATTTACTAAAAAATTAGCTCAGTTGTATGATATAAGAATAGCTCAAAAAACCAAACCTGCAAAGCAGCAGCGTGCTGGGTGTCCGGTGGCAGTTGATCCTTGAAGAGGCACTGCAACATCGCCGCGAAGCCGTTGCTTTTGATCCCGGCACTAAACTGTTCTTCGTGATCATCGCAACTGCCAGTGGAACAAATGTTCGCTGTTATCGAGGCTTCACTTGCATTCACGTCCATCACGCTGCTGCTTGTTCACTATATTGCTGCCCTTGCCACACCGCCCACACTCCTGAAGAACGCAGGTTCTCTGACGATGTGATGAAGCGTATCCTTGATGCGTCAGTATCCGAGTACTCGGCTCGAAATCGTATGGTATTTATTGTGGTCTGGTTCTTCGTCTT